GTTTTCTTCCCCAATAACTTTATATTTCGTTAGTTTGAAGATATTTTGAGTTGAAAATAAATCACACTCCATAATTATGTTGACAATAGGCTATTCTGCCTGAATTAGAGTTGTAATTTTAAATGTAATAATTTAGACTAACATAATAAATTGTCCATCAGTCCGTTTGTACGGTGTGCAGCGCTGCCGCTTCTGAATAAATGAAAATGATTTAACACAGTTGTTTACACTTTTAGCAGCTCTTTTTATTCCACAGCTGACCTGCAAAAAATGACAGATTTTCTTTCCTGGATCTCTGACAGACGGACTTCAATCTCTGAACTCATAAAGTTTTTCTTTTTAGTTTTCGCTGTCATTTTTCATGAATGGACATTTCCTTGTATCTGAGGCAGGAAACACAGCCTTATATGGTGTTTTTGAGGTGGTAATTATGCTAATCTCCTCTGGCGTGCACGAGCAGCTGGATACGAACAGGTGGAAATTATGCAGCTTATTTACACACTTTTCCTGAAGATAGAAGAGTTTGTTGAATCTGACGTGGCATGTTCGTACGAACAAAAAAGTAAGAGAAATTTAGGATAAGAATACGAACATGTTCTTGCATGAGGCCCATTATTTTGCCTGAAAAACAAGTGATCAGCAAGAGGAAAGAAACCAAAGAGGAGCTACAGAAAACCAAGACAAGCTTGAGTCACATACAGTGTGTAGGCCATAAATACACACAGAAATACAACCCAGAACTAGAAACCCTCCTCACACCTGCCAGGACTGGTAAGGGGTTCCATGGTGTAATGGTTAGCACTCTGGACTCTGAATCCAGCGATCCGAGTTCAAATCTCGGTGGGACCTGCAGCGTTTTCATTTTTTATCCAGCCTTCTTTACACTTCCTCTGACCTACTCTGTCGGAGCTGATGTGTATTTGAACACACTTAATGCAGTGAGAGCCCCAGAGCGTGASAACACACGAGAAGAACGAGAGTCTGCTTAGTGGTAAGGAAGTGATTTTTGAGTGCGAGCCAACACACAGCTGACTAGCAACTGGGACCTACTGCAGACATGTTGAGTCAAACCCTTTGGACCTTCACTGGTTTGATGTTTAAAATCAATAAATCTTTTAAAAACAATTGCAATTAGGACAATAATTAATTAGCCAACACATCTAACATTACTGACCTTTGATCAGGAAAATCTATTCATCACAATTTAAATAGCACAGTTTAACTTAGTGCTCTTTGTTTCTGTTTAACGACTGCAGACCTCAAGTGTGCCAGCATCCACCTACCCCTGCAGAAAACCTATAGGATCACAATCAGAATGATTTATTCATGTCCTTAGAGACTATCGGAAACTGGAGATCCATTCGAGAAGACAAGATGACGATCAAGTCCAATGCACCCAGTTGTGTTTCAGAAACTGAGGGAAATGGACAAAACCAAGAGGAACAAATGTGAAACAACTTTCAGGTGGTAATAAACTGTTTCTCTCTTGTATTTGAGTCTGAGAGCTAAATCTAAACATGTTGTCAAGATTGCAACGAGCGAACAAAGCTTTTCCCCCAATTTTTCCATCCAAACAGCCACCCTCTTCCTGTTTCCATACACCAGACACAAAGACTATTATAAGACATGAGGGCTTCCTGTGCCCGACACGTGTTTTATGACCCTACCTCATCACTGCCCACGGAGACAAAGAGAAACGCAGGAAAAACAAGTCTATTTGCAGATGAGCAAGCTTCAAATCTTATACCATCTGAATCATCAGTTTTTAAGTCACAGGTCGTAGTGAATCACAGAATCTTACTGGATTTTTAATTAAAATATTAGTGGCAGCAGCTTGTAAAACATTAAAACATACAAAAGTAGCTTGTGATCGACTTGTACCTTTATCTGCTGTCTGCGCAGCATGGCTAATTCCCTCATGTCTCTGAAGGGCTGCAGCAGGTACTGGTACAGCTGTGTGGAGGCCTCCAGCAGAYCACCATAAGCCTGGTCCTCTTCTTCATACAGCTCCAGCAGCTCCACCATGCAGTCAGTGGATCGGTGCTTCTCCAGCAGCTGCATCACAAACAGAACATCCATTTTTAGGGAGACACCTGGATGCATCGTCAATGAACAGCGCTGAGGTAAAACATTCAAAAAGACACAGTAAACAAGAGGGGGGGGGATGCTTTTTGCGCACACTGTCAGTGCCTGAAGTGAAATAAAAAGAGTCCTCAGTAAACACTTCCACCTTACAGGTAAGTAATGGGGGTAAGCTGTAAATAATAGCAGGACTAAATGCGGCCTTTTAATGCACCGTCCAGAGTTCAGTGTGCACAGTTTGATCTGCTGATGGGAATAAGATCAATACTCGCACGTTTCTGTCAGGCTGAACTGTCCTGTCGGCTACCAGCAAACACTAAAATAGCCATTAACTAAGCCCTCAAATGGAGTGAGAGGATCAATAGTTCAGTGCTTCTGTGTGAAATCCAGACACACAACAACCAGCCACCATCTCTGTAACAGAGCGCTGCTGCCACATGAGTCAGAGCAGCTGAATGACATCAGTGGCTCATGCTTCATTACAAAGGAGAAATAAACCTTCAAGCAGACCTGAGATCTCAATCTGAGAAACTTTTATAGGACATTTTAAGCAAACGGCTTCTGGCTGCTGGGCTTTATAGTGTGACTGCTTTATCTGTTCTCTGACGATCCTGAAGCAAAGACACCCCTTCCTGCGTCTGGTTTTCTTTCTTTTCATTATTCTGAGCGTGACCGCTGCTGAACTGCAAGAACGGTGGGAGAGAAGCTGGATGGAATGACGTGTGTGGATTATTTGTTTATGCCTTTTTTTCCCTCTCTCTCTGCGGCCAAAAGTACAGCAGAGGGGAAACGCCTCAGCCAGAACATCACCTGATCACATTAGTGTGCACGAATGGAGCCTAGATGCAGCTTCTGCAGTGAATCGGAGCTCAGTTTATTCCCATTTTCTTTAACATATTATTAACCCAGCCACCATTAAAACAGAYAGCGATAACTGTAAAATAAATCTCTTTCACTTTGTCTCTCAGAGGACTTCTTGTACAGTTCTGGCTCCACCAGTCAAGGATGCATTAATCTCTCTCCATTGATTAGTGAGACAGTGTGCATAAATATAATGTCTGTTTATATTAAGAGCGGCTAATCAATCATTCGCTGCTGCTGCAGTGTAACAYGAGCTGGCCTGCAGCTCTCTGTTCGTCTGCACTGTTAGAGCCTGTGTCAAACACGACATCTCAATTTGCTGCAACATTTTATTTATGTTGYATAAATATAAAGGTATTTCTTTACTGAAAAAGGTTGCTGCATTACAATTTCAAATGTATCTAATAAAAACAATTAAATGGGTCAAATTAGAACATTTACCAGAGGAGAAAAGCATCGTTCATACATTTAAAGACACTATTTCAACTCAAGAAGTTTTGCCTTATTTGGCCATAAGGTAAAACCTTTACATTTGCAGCATACCTTTTAGTTTTTGTGAGCTTCAGTAAATGAAGTTCCTGTGAATCAAGTGTTTTCCAGCTCAGCCTGCAGATTCCTGACTAGAATCGAACACAGGGAGCTTAGAGTTCCAGGAGTCAGCACCTCAGGGCTCTGCTTGAGTTGGTTCTGGGTGGGTTTGTGACGTGTGCAGAAAACCGCATTAAAATGAGATGATCACTTTTACTCACTTTGTGTCTGACTGGTTACTGTGGTGGYTCTAATCTGAATACGGACGCTGCAGTTAAAGCTGTCAGCAGGTGAAGTCGAGGCTTTTTTCAGAAGGGCCGCAACAAAAGCTGACACAGTTTTTCAACAAGCTCGTTGGAAAAAAGGTGAGAGGTACTTGGGCTGCATTTGTGTGTGTGTGTGTGTGTGTGTGTGTGTGTGTGTGTGTGTGTGTGTGTGTGTG